GTGTGTACTATATAAAAAATCCTGCTGCACACAGTGCATAATAAAAAAAAATCAGTGACAGTACACTCATTACTTTAAAACGTGTAGTCTTGATGTAGGGCGAGAAGTGTGTAGTATTCGTTTGTAGGAAGTCAGGTATAGGTAGCTGGTAGGTGTAAGTATGTAGCCTGCCTGGGCTACATAGCTACAGCATATGATATTTAACCCTTAAACGGTCCAAACATATATATACGGTGGTCCCTCAATTATCGTCCTTAATCCGTTCCTGGAAGTGGGACTATTATCGAAATAGACGGTTTTCGAATCAATTTTCCCCATAAGAAATAATGTAAATCCAATTAATTCGTTCCAGACACCCAGAAGTATCAACAACATTTTTTTTTTTTTTTACCTAAAAGATAGATTTACATGCACAAAAGAATGAACATTCAACATGACAGTTACCTTTATTGAAGGCTGTTGTTTATGAATGGAAGACAGGGAGGAGGAGAGAGGGAAGAGAGGTTATTGTTTGGAAGGGGAATCCCCCTCCATAGTGACTCTAGGTCACTTCAGGGGTCACTTCCCTAGCATAAATATAGATTTACTTGGAGAAAAAAATGCCAAATAAACGTAAAGCACTAATAAAATGTATAAATGAACATTGGTAATAGGGGTAGTTGATGAGTGGAACGGTCTGCCTAGTAGGGTGATCGAAGCTAAAACATTGGGTAGTTTCAAATTTAGGTTGGATAAATACATGAGTGAGAGGGGTTGGATTTGAGTCGGACTTGCACCTGAGCTTATTGCTTGGGTAGCATTTCTTCTGTTAGTGGGTTGGATTTGTGAAGGACCAGCCTAGTATGGGCCAGCAGACCTACTGCAGTGTTCCTCCTTTCTTATGTTCTTATTGGAGACTTGTTTGTGTGAGGGAGGGATGGCAAGTTTATTGTTGGAGAATGACACTAATATCAACTCTACGGCTTATTTATCTATCACAATTCAACTAATATGACATAATAAACAATATTAATAACAGAAACATGGAATATACTCTAGAATGAATAAAATAAGTCATTACGTATGTCACGAGAGGTGTTGTGTTGTTGTTGGGTATATAAGGGCCACTGAGAGTAAGCTGTCCATAATGGTGGTGAAGCAGCAGCTGAGGCGGTGGTGTTTTCTGTAGCCCTATATAACTCCAACAACATTGGAGGAGTTGGTAGAATCGCTGAATCACTAAAGAAGGAACCCTCTACCATCATCACTACGACCTTCTACCACTATTACAACTGTTACCACCATCACTACTACCTTCTACCACCATCAACCACTATCACAACTGCTTCCACTCTACCACCACCACCTTTGTATTTTTCTACAAACTTTTTCATAAATTATGTGTGTTTCTCACATTCTTTACCAAAGGGCTGGCACTAGAAGCTTTCTTTGGAGCCATGGTAGCTTATTTAGCACTTGCAAGCACTAAAATCAATGGAATATTATGAAATATTTCGTAGGAGCATGTGAGGGCACCGTCGCTCACTGGTAAACAATGGCACACTGGCTGGGAAGGCAGGCCCAGGCGGCTCAGAGCGTGAGTACACGTCCCGGACAAAGGACGATTAGCGAGTTAACGGATCATTTGCGAGCTAATGTTTAGACGAAATAACGGGACTATTTCCAAAATGGACGACTTTCAGGCCAGACGATTATTGAGGGACCACTGTACGTTCACCTGCGCAGCACCCCGAATATTTTGAGAAAAAAAATTGTTTTTTTTTTTATAGGAAAAAAGAGCATGTGGTACCCAGGCGTCCCCAATTTTTTCATGTCTAGGCTACTCAGGCCTATCGTGCCAATGTTGAATGAATGACAAATGAAACGTATATATACATTTGGGGCGCTACGCGAGAGAACGTATACAGTGGTCCCTCGCTTTTCGTAGTTCTCGGCAATCGTAAATTTCGCCAATCATAGGGGTATTTTCGTATAAACATGGACTCGCTTTTCATAGGTTGACTCGCGAATAGTAGTTCGTTCGGGTCGCGTACGCACGGTGTGAGCCGGGGCGGCCTCCCTACCCAGCCAGTCTGGCATTGTTTACCAGTGAGTGAAGGTTCCCTCAAGTGCTCCTACGAAATATTTCATAATCCACTCATTTTAGTGCTTGCAATTACTAAATAAGCTACCATGGCTCCAAAGAAAGCTCCTAGTGCCAAGCCTGTGGTAAAGAAGGTGAGAAATATGTACAGTGACAGTCTTGGGCCATTTTCGGGAAGTGTTAAAGAGACGCCAGAAACATAGCTCTCTCCACAGTTACTTTGCGAGACAGGACTAGAGTGACTCTCGAGGTGGTCCTAGTGACATTAAGAAACAGAGAAGAGAAGCAACCCCAGAGAAGCAATTGGTACCTGAGGTGTTGCTGGAAGGAGATTCCCCTTCCAAACTGTAAACAATCCAATCTCTCTCCTCCTCCAGTCTCCCATACACTAAGAAGAATCTCCAATAAAGGTAAGTGTTATGCTGTTAATGTTTCATTCATCATTTCCAATTGTATTGTTTATGTACTAATATATATATTTCATGTAAAAAATTTTTTTGTTTTAATACTTCTGGGTGTCAGGAATGGATTAATTGTATTTACATTATTTCTTATGGGGAAAATTGATTCGCAAATCGTAAATTTTGTTTATAGTAATGGCTCCAGGAATGGATTAATTACGAAAAACGAGGGATCACTGTATATACGTTTGGACTGTTTAACCCCTTCAGGGTCCAAGGCCAAAATCTGAAGTGGTGTCCAAGAATTTTCCCAAAAAAAATTTGCTATTTTTTCTTATGAAATGGTAGAGAATCTTTTTGTGAAGGTAATAAAACAAAAAGTACGAAATTTGATGGAAAATTGATGAAATTATGCTCTCGCGAATTTTGATGTGTCAGCGATATTTACGAATTGGCGATTTTGCCGACTTTGACTCCCATTTTAGGCCAATTACATCATTCCAGTGACCAAATTCTTAGCTATTTCACTAGTATTACTTCTATTCTATTGATTAAGCACAAGAAATCGCCAAATCAACTGTTTCAACTACAAAATAAAGTGATCGGAAATTGGTAATTTGGCCAATTTAACACAAAGTTCAAAATATTCCAATTTCAAAATAGCGTCCAGAATAAACAATGTAGGCATTCCTGGCACTAAACTAACATTTCCTCGGTTCATTAGTTACGTTTTGAGGCTTTACAAATAAATCCCATTTTGATTTTTTATTCACATAATGAATATTTATTCACACCAAAAAATAGAAGATTTACTGTTATGCAATATTGTAACAATTGTATAAATATCATCACCACATTTGTGAATGTATATTAGACCCACCAGCTGGCGTGTATTAGACGTGTGAGGTCGTTTGTTTACTCTTGAACATCGGCAAAAATTTAACATTTCCGCTACTTTGAGCTCAGTTTCAAGCCATTTCCAGTGCTAAAAACCAATCAAAATCATCTCTATTTCTGTAATATGTCTTCCATTCTATCAAATGAGACCAAGAAATTGCAAATACAACCATAAAAAACATTGAAAAAGCACTGCAAAGTTGCTGTTTTAATCGAAAATCTTGGTTTCAGTTTTTTTTCTCTCATACACAGTGTGCTGCAGGATTTGTTTTATGTGGTGCACACATACCACATAGATGTATTCTCTCATATCTAGGCCCAAGTGTACACTCACAGTTTATCAGAGTGAGCTGAGCTCATGACGTAGATCTACGGTTTGGACCCTGAACGTAAAGCCGTAGATCTACGGGACGGACCCTGAAAGGGTTAAGGGTTAAAGCGGCCCATCAACATACCATGTTCACTGAATATTATTTCTAACAACTACCTTTATATACCATCATAAATGAAGGGAAAAGTGATGAGAAGTCATTCCGAGAATTATAAACAAAGCCAAATGTGTTAGGGGCAGTGACTGGATCAAAGTCGGATTGATACACATTTTCTCTGGTGCTGGACCAGAGAAAACGTAATAATATATTTTCCCTCCTTCCGGCTACCACACCTCGTATTTATGCGATATTTATCATACTGTGGGTGTATGTATCTTGTTTATATACTATGTAATGTGTTTCTTACATAATTTTGAAGAAAATGTCATAGATGGATTAATGAAAAGGGTGAAAAACTGTGACTTTGTGGTGTATTTTCATAGGGTTTTTATGGCTGTTTTCTCGGTTTTTGGTCGTGTTTGATAGAATGGAAGATGTGTTACAGAAATAGATATGATTTTGATTGGTTTCATGATGGAAAGTACCTTGAAATTGAGCTCAAAGTAGTGGAAATGTTCGATTTTTGCCGATGTTCAAGAGTAAACAAATTAAGTTACCATCCAGTATGGGTCCAACTTGCCAGTCTAATACGCAGTCACAAATGGCTTCACATTATTTATGAGTTATTACAATATTGCAGTATGCATAACTAAATATTTTTATTTTTTGTGTGAAAAAAATTCAAAATGGAAAGCAAGTGTAATATAAGAGGAGCCTGGAAACATGACTAATGAACAGAGAAAATGTTATTTTAGTGCTAGGAATATCTGCATTGTTTATTCTGGACCCTATCTTGAAATTGGCATCTCTTGATATTTATGTGAAATTGGCCAAATTACCAATTTCTGACCACTTTATTGGTTAGTTGACATAGGTTAATAGGCGGTTTCTTGTACTCGGTCGACAATAGAAGGAATATTAGCGAAATAGCTATGAGTTTGGTAGACTGGAACACTGGAATGGGCCAAAAGTAGGGCATAAAGTGGCTGAAATCACTGTTGGGTTAAGTGTATTCTAACCTAACCACTCTGTAATCCATTCAAAATCACTAATCCAGCACCCAACAGGCCCTGATGATGCCGGATTAGTGATGGTCAACCTGTATATAATTTATTTGTTTTTCTAGGGCAAGTTTTTCTTGTAAATTGTACTTAAGTGTTAATCTTGCTATTTTCTCTTCTATTTCAGTTTGTTGATAGATTTGCAGGAGACTCTAAAATGAATGTTTGACAAGAAAAAAATTGTTGAAAACTTTCATATGTAGGATAAAGGAATGTGTCGGCTCATGGCTATGGACAACAGGAATGTTAGTCATATTGCCAGAAGAGAATAGTTTCAGATGAAAATGAAAAGGAACCAAACATGTCACAAACTAGATACTTCCTAGCTCATAGGACTACATGTGACTGAAAGGTATTTCCATGATAAACTTCATTGAAATATGAAATATATTTATTTGTATTGTCAGTATGGTGATTATTACTCATTCTTTCCCTAATCATTTATTGTAACAACTGGTATGTAAGATAAATATAAAACTGCTTCAGTAATGGTCTTTATAATTACAAAGTAAAAATCCTCAGGCATTTCACCTCTTGAATTCAAACCATGTAAATGTAGTTACTTAATGTGTTTAATTACTGGTATAGTACTTTGTTAAAAACAAATGAATATGGTTTCTCTAAATTGATAAGAAATTCTTGAAGTACCACCATAAAGTATATATCTCCAAAAGGTATGCAGCCAGATAATCCAGATAAGTATTGTTTCATGCTAATTATTGGGGGGGGGGACACTCTAATGTGGAAATAATAATTTTCGTATTACTTTAGTATACGTTATGTCGTATATGATAATTATATCTGATTTTGTGCTTATTTTTTGAAAGATTTGCTCTCTTTTGGTGAAAGATATTTGCACTTGCATAACTGATTATGTTTTGTACATATTTACAAAATAACATTTGTAGATCAATGGTTCAGAGAACCGACAAGTTGATAAATTAGGCACGTGTGCAACTCTTGGGTATCTTTATTGAGGAAACGTTTTGCCAATAAAGATACCCAAGAGTTGCACATGTGTCTAATTTATCAAAATAACATTTGTTGCACTCATTAGAAAACATAAATTTGGCAGAATGAGAAAAAAGTTTATAGAAATAATGGATGCTCTTCATTTATGGAGTTGTGTGTTTAACTGTAAATTTTATGGATCCATGGACACAGTGTGCCACAATTATTCTTTGTCAGGAATTACATTAATGAAGGCTACAGAACTTTGCCTTTACCTATGAGTTCTAACATTGTCACCTGATGATTAGTTTGTAAGAAATTTGTAATGTGCTCACTTCATTTTGTTTATATACAAATAAGACTAAAGCACTTCAGTACAGTATTGTTTAACTTATAACTGGTTAATATATACTTTTAACCCTTTCACTGTCGGTGTCATATTAGTACAGCTTACAAGCCAGTGTTGGTGCTGTATTAATGCGCCAAAATTCTAGCGGCTTCAAATCTAGACCCACATGTGAGAGAATGGATCTGCATGGTCAGTGTGCGCAGTATAGAAAAAATCCTGCAGCACCCATTGCGTAATGAGAAAAAAAAACTGACCGTGTTTTTGGTTTAAAACGCTGACTTTGAGGTGTTTTTTTGTATAGTATTTATGGTTGTATTCTCGTTTTCTTGGTCTCATTTGATAGAATGGAAGATATATTACAGAAATAGAGATGATTTTGATTGGTTTCACGATGAAAAGTACCTTGAAATTGAGCTCAAAGTAGCAGAAATTTTCATATTATGCCGATGTTCATGAGTAGACAAATGACATCACCGTCCAATACATGTCCAACTGGCCAATCTAATATGCAGTCATGAATGGGTTGATATTATTTATACAATTATTACAATAATGCAGTAGTCTGCATAACAGAAAATCTTCTATTTTTTTGTGTGAATAAAAATTTAAAATGGAAAACAAGAGTAATATAAGAGGGGGCTGGAGACATGAGCAATGAACAGAGAAAATGTTATTTTAGTGCCAGGAATGTCTGCATTGTTTATTCTGGACCCTATTTTGAAACTGGCATCTTTTGAAATTTGTGTGAAATTGGCCAAATTGCCAATTTCTGACCACTTTATTGGGTAGTTGAAATCAGTAAATGGGTGGTTTCTTGTACTCAGTCGATAGAACAAATGGAGTTCTAGCGACATAGCCATGAGTTTGGTTGACTGGAACAGTGGAATTAGCTGAAAATAAGGCTCAAAGTGGGCGAAATCGCCGATGCATATACATGTATATCTCTGAGACCACTAAGTTCACGAAAGCGTAATTCCATAAGTTTTCCATCATATTTTGTACTTTTGGTGTCATTACTATCGGGAAAAGATTATCATTTCATAATTTTTTTTTTTTTTTTTTTTTTTTTTTTTTTTTTTTTTTTTTTTTTTACACTGAGAGCAAGTTTGTGAGCAGGGGTTTCACAGAAAGGTTTAACACGTTGGCCATTTCCCACTTAATAGAGTGACCTAAAGAAAAAAATACATTCATTATCACTCATTCCCTAGTTGTCTTTCTGAAAGTGCATGGACATCACAATACAAATGATGCTTTGAATTGCTGTATCCCCATTCATCCCTCAGAATGCAGGCATTGTAAATTCCCATCTCTAGGACTCAAATCTTGCTAACTGGTTTCTCTGAATCCCTTCATAGATGCTGCCTGCTCATGCTTTAACAAGTAGCACATCAAATTAAAAAAAATTTGTCTCCTCTCGTCAATCTAACATGCTTTCACACATCTACTAAATGCTCAAACCCCTTCCACTTAATAAAAAAATGCTTTCTCACCCTTCTTCCCAAAATCTTTCTCTACTCTTTTCTAATATCAGGTCCCTACCACTTTGCACCCTTCAGCAAACCCTTTCTCTTCCTTCCAAAATCTACTTCTTACACTTCTCTCATCTGCTGGGAAAATCTTATAACCAAATTCTTACATCCCATTTTAAATAAATTTTTTTTTTTTTATTTGCTAATTCATATACCTTTTTGAATTGTTCATGAAGCATCACTTCACCAAGAGCTAAAGAGTAACATCACTACTTTTTAGCTCTTGCTCTCTCATATACACCTCTCTTAATCTTATTTAGTCCTCCCTTTTAAAACCCTCCCTCTGTCATTCATACTGTTAACAATCAGTTTTTTCTTAACATACATACTATACCTCTGCATATTCCAAAAACTCACCTTCAGGATTTCAAAAAATGTTTAGTACATTGCGTATAGAAAAACAATTACTGTACCATTGTACCTGGAATTTTAGTTGCCTTCTATGATGCACATGGCTTATGGAGGAAGAACTATAACCCACTTTCCCTTGGAATAAGGAAGGACATTCTACTGGGGTAAGAGCTATTAAGGAATACAGAAGAATGCAAAGCTAAGTGTATATGGATACACACATATGCAATGTATATTGAGTGTAAGTGGAATTTTGAATGATTCTAATGATTTTAGTTTGGGTTTAACAGAATTAGATATGCAGAGTGAAATTCCACAATGTAGTGTTAGGAGTCTGTATATAATTAAAGTTGAATAATTTTTTATGTTGAATCTGTAAATATATTTATTTTGTTCATCACAGGCAACATATATATACATATATTGACACTGATAATACATATTGCTGTACAGGCATCCAATATAAATGTGTTCATGGTAGTTTGGAACATTGCTAAGGCAATTATCGTGTATTGATGTCATCACCATTTGCTAGCATAATAATATAAAAGGTGGTTATTGTTTTTCTGTCACAGTTTTGTGTAGAGCAACTTCACTGCCAGATATCTTGTGGCTTTCTTGTGAATTCATTCACTGTGTTCATGCTATATCACCTTAGTATTAAATTACATGCTGAATGATTAGTTAACATGTTTATTGTGAAAGGTATTGACATAAAAAGAATTACACTTGGGCTTGTAAATGATGCTGAATAAACTGTTGGTTGTAGACTGTGCCAAACATACTTCTATAAGGGCAAAGTTATCTCATTCTGGGATACTTGTTTGATGAGACTAATTTGGCAGTTTTTAAGGATAGCACTTATGGCTGTATTTTACATTATTCTGGAAAATACTTTATTTGATTAGGGAGTCTTTTTATTAATCATTGCTTCACAAGTGGCGAAAAGGAGTGACAACGTGGAAGATAATTTAGAAAATCCATTTCTTCCCAGGAAAGCAAGGGCATACAGTTAAAATATGCAATAATCCCCTACTTAATAATCAGGATGCTTGCCAAAGAAATTGCTCTTAGTTTTATTATATATTAGGCAAAGTTTATATTCTCACCCTACCTAATAACACTAGCCAGCAATATACTATTTCTTTTATCCAGTTCAGAAATTGAATTGGTTGTTTTCAGCTAACTTTGATGTACTGATTATGAATCTGAGCTTGTTTAGTCTGTGCCATATAAGATTTTTTAAAATCCTACAATCAATATTTTGGCTATTTAAGACTGAAGAACCACATGATATATGTTACCTAAGAGTCATAGGTATTATATTGTGCATTAATATTAAATGTGGTGTATGCAGTGACAAAAACTGATCTTAACATAAATTCATTACATATAGTGTGTGCATAACAAATTTCTATTCAGTCATGCAGATATATTTACATCACAGTTTTCAGGCTTTTCTCTCTTCTCTCTCTCTCTCTCTCTCTCTCTCTCTCTCTCTCTCTCTCTCTCTCTCTGTCTCTGTGTCTGTCTCTGTCTCTCTCTGTCTCTGTCTCTCTCTCGTCTCTCTCTCTCTGTCTCTCTCTCTCTGTCTCTCTCTCTCTGTCTCTCTCTCTCTGTCTCTCTCTGTCTCTCTCTCTCTCTCTCTCTCTCTCTCTCTCTGTCCTCTCTCTCTCTGTCTCTCTCTGTCTCTCTCTGTCTCTGTCTCTCTCTCTGTCTCTGTCTCTCTCTCTCTGTCTCTGTCTTCTCTCTCTGTCTCTCTCTGTCTCTCTCTGTCTCTCTCTCTCTCTCTCTCTCTCTGTCTCTCTCTGTCTCTCTCTTCTCTCTGTCTCTCTCTCTGTCTCTCTCTCTGTCTCTCTCTCCTGTTCTCTTCTCTGTCTCTCTCTTCTCTGTCTCTCTCTCTTCTCTGTCTCTCTCTCTTCTCTCTCTGCTCTCTCTCTCTCCTGTTCTCTCTCTCTCTCTTGTCTCTCTCTCTCTCCTCTCTTCTCTCTCTCTCTCTCTCTCTCTGTCTCTCTCTCTGCCCTTTTCTCTCTCTCTCCTCTCTGTCTCCCCCTCTCGGTCTCTCTCTCTCGTCTCTTTCTCTCTTTTCTCTCTTTGTCCCCTCTCTCTCTCTCTTCTGTCTCTCTCTCTCTCTCTCTCTTTTCTGTCTGTCTTTTTTTTTTTTTTTACACG